TGCCAACAGAGCTGCGGCCAGGGCTGTTCCAGCATGGATGTCAGCCCGTAATGTCTCCAAAGTATTAACAGTAGATGATGCCAAGCCACCTTCCTGTCAGATTCTTAGAGCAAAAGGAAGGTTAGAGGGTAACATTTAGAGGTAAATGTGTTTAAGGTAAACAGACTTTCCAAGTTTTTCCACCCACTTCACATCCACCCCCCCACCCCTGCCATCTTTCAGTGCTGACCTATTAAAGACATGAAACCACACAGGGTCCCCCTCCTCAAGAACAAGGTAGGTGGAGTTGTGGGTGCTGTAGGGGTATGGGACACACCGCAAAAATGAACCCTCAGGGCTTGGCTTTGTAGCCGTCTCCAGAGCAGCCTGAGCAATCCCCCAGCAGCACTGCACTCACCGCTGCTTTTGAGCTGTGCCACCCCAGGCTCCGGCTCTGCCAGGAGCGATGGCGCCAACCGGCCAGCTCCAGAATGCGTGCTGCACTTTCCACCTTGGTGGGTTCAGTTACCAACCAGTTTGAGTTCGTTCAGGAGCACCGCGAATTGCAGTCCTTCTGTTTGTTGCCTCCAGCAGTACAGAAAACCAGCCCGAGTCGTTGGGCTAAAGCTATCAGCTACCTTTAGCCTCATGCCTTCTCTGATCAGTTTTGGATAACGCTTTCTGAAGCTGTTTATTTTTAAGGGAGAGGCCAAATTTATTTTTTTTTGTGTGTGTATGGAAAACAAGCACAGGAGGAGTCAAAACATCAAAAGCTTATTCCCAAAGCTGCAGCCACTTGAAAGTCCAAGAGTAACTGGGCAGCTGTGTGAGCTTTTACCCTACAGCAAAGGTGAGGCACTGTAACTTAATTTAAATTTCATTGTAGATTGAGCCAAGTTAAATTCTCTTACACTGGCTCCAGGCTGGAGCTGGACACAGTTACAAGAGGCCACCTGCCCTGTCCTGGCTGAGACACATACCCAGGCCCTGAGGCAGCCCTGGAAAGCTTGGGGACAGGCTGCTAGACCTGCTGATGCTTTTTGGCTACCACCACCATCCTACCTGGGGGATTAAAAAAAGAAAAGTAGCTCATGCAAATGGAAGTAGTTTTTCGAGAGTGATTCCATTCTATCTTCTATGATACATGTCATTTGGACAAAAGCTCAACACCACCTGTATGTGTATATATATAAAAAAAAAATTTTAAAAATCCATCTTCAAAACAATAGATTTGTTTCCAGGGTTCCTCCCAGGTACAAGCTGGAGGGGTAGTGCCACCCTCCAGTCTCCTGCTCAGGGCAGCCTGCATGAAGAACTAGGGGCTGAAGCCACTGAATGCAGTCCTCACCCTAGGGAGGCTGAGTAAAAAGCAGCCACTCATTCCCAAACATCTGTTCTTCTGAGGATTTTGTCATCATTGTTATTAAGTCAAAGTTTGTTAGTTTTGGCTCTAAACCATTCCCTACTTGAAGTGGGACAAGTCTCAGCACAAGATGGTTTAGCCACCACCTCAGCTATGTAGCATTTTAGTAGGAACCCTTCACCTCTCTACTCGGGACCAGTAACTCCAGTAATGCGTGCCAGCGTCGGCACTAACTCTTGGTTGGGAGTGTCTTTGCAGTCTTGATGTGCAAGTATCCACACAAAAGACAGGAAGGCAGCAAACACATGTACATGCTCAGGAGGGATGGGTAGGAATATTCTTTAAAGGGAAAACTGTCCTGTGCAACAAGACTTCTACCCTCAGCGGGATCACACTCACTCACGGTGACACCCGTGGAAGGCAGCCATGGAAGCACAAAGATGAGTTACTATTCTTTCACATATACAATATTGCTGATGCAAAAGTCACTTTAATATTGCAAAACATTGGGAGACAGGGGGTTTTGCCTACTTCAAATGCTGTTCAGGATGAACTTCATTCCTGCAAGGACCCTGGTCACAGTTACTGAAGCCCAGCAGTGAGAATACACATCTCTTGACAGAAGAAAGATAAAATTACCATGGGTTGGTTTTTTTTTTTTTTCCTCCTTCACTCATGGTATGACAGGATTAAGCTCTGGCTCACACACACATCCACAGTTGCAGAAAAAGAAGTTATTAAATTGATATTAGCCATTAAAAAAAGTCACTTCCCTTCTCCAAGAAGGATGTATGCTACTGGGTGACAACAAAATTTCACCTCCCGTCAGCCATTGTTTCATTGGTTTTATCCCAGTTTAATAGATGATTTATCAGATTTGTGCAAGACAGTTACCTCTAACACAAGGGGGAAAAAAATAAAATCACAGCAACATATACACACAAAACAAGATACACAAAATAGAGCTAAATTTATATACAGGTTAATAGCAGCTAGACTCTTAACTTCATTTAGTACATGGCTTTACTCACTACAGGTTTAGGCACAAAGAATTTACCAGTAGGATATTTGCTATAATGAAGGGCCACAATGAATACCTCGTTCCAAGTCCTCACTGGGCAGAAATTGGTTTATCTAAGGAAGATCTAACTCTCACTTCCCGTGGGTTGAGGACACAGCCCTGCACAAAGGATGAAAGAACATGATCCAGCTCATTCAGCATACTGCAACTTTACACTTTAGATATTAAACATCTAATTTTTTTTTTTTTTAAGTAGGGTTATGTTACAGAGTTATTGAACAGGACTGAATCTCAGTGAAAGAATTAGTGTCAGGGCTTTTTATTTTTTTCCCCTGTTTGCTTAGCATGGACTCTCAGCTGTAAACAACTCCAAGAAGAGCTGGCAAGAAATTATTAGATGTGAAGATTGCTTTGTACACACTTCACATTTATAACAAAGAATTTGCTTTAACAGGATTTAAAAGCATAAAGGTCATGAAACATTTAAATTTACTTAGCAGGTTATGTTAATAAATTACACTGCATCATCCACATGTAGGACTCCACTCCAGCCTGCACTGAAGCAGGTGCTTGGATGTGTTTTATGTGCTTCCTTGTCTTTCTGATTTAGGACTTTAGACTCAAGAGCCCAGCAAAATAAGTATGTGCTTTACTCGCAGCATACAAGCAGCCTTTTTTGTTTCAGCAGCACTTCTCATATTTGATTATGCATGCGTAAGTGCTTTGCCAGATGGAGGAATGGCCACATATTTTAATTACCGATTGCTTATGTATAGTATGCCTGTCACAATGAGGAACATGATCACTTACCCAGTGAAAAGGCTGAAAAGAATAACTACATAACAGAACCAGCCAGATACCATAACAACACAATTAAAAATTTAAGCAGCAAGCAGATAATTTAACAAAAAAAAGACAACAAAAAACTTTAACTTATGAGGCAGGTTGAGAATAATAACGCAAAGATTTTTCCTTCATGACAGCTTCATTTACAAGTACAGCTCAGCAAGTTTGAAATACCTTATCACAAGAACTACAAACTTGTTTGTCACAGTTATGTCAGACCTCCTCCCTGAAGGGTGTGTCAGTTTCTATTATAGCTGCTCCCCTCCTCTTCTCCAAGGTTTATTACTCAGCTTCTTAGGAAAAAGAGGGGGTTGCTCGAAGCTTTAGAAAGTGCAGAGAATAAGTGAGTTTTTCCCTTTAGAAAAAAAATCAACACACAGAGAACTCTTAAACATGCAGGAATAACAATGAGATATTTAGAGGGTCTGGAGTTTGGCATTTGATTTTAAAATGGCTATTCTGGATGTTTTCAAGTGCACAAAAAGGGAAGGGAGTTTTAGTGTGGAAAAACAGCTTTGCCATATTAAAAAAAAATTATACCAACACACAAATATATTTTGGGACCATCTTTAAAAGCATGTCTATTGAACAAAGGCAAAATATGCCAATTTGGACCATTCGGGAGCAACATGCTCTTACATACAGCTCTCTCCTGTAATTCCACTTAGCCTGCAAGAATTTTGGCTGTAACTTCTGTTATGCATTGGCAGGGCATAATCAAATAAGGCTGTGAACAGAGGATTATTAGGGCTGTCAAACTACAGGAAGATCAAATGACAGTTTTTAGAAGTAACAGAACTTACAACTATTCAGTGTAATACAGCTATTGTTCAAAAAGTAACAGTTTCTTCATGGGAACCCTAACGTAAGAGATACGACTTTTGACATAAGGTTCTCGCATTTGGTACGATGTTAACTTGTTCTATGGCTTCTCTGCTATAAGATCGTCACTGGTACAGAACAGTTGGGGTCACAGATTGTCAGGAGACTCTTTGGCTGTCAGTGCGAAAACCGGCGCATGGTGCATATCCTTGAGGCTTGTCTGGTGCCTTTCACTGGACACGCAGGTTGCTAAAGCGTGACCAAGAAGCAGGTGGCTGGGAAGAAAGGCAAGACGTCGAGTGAAGCAGCAGAGTGATGCAGTCACCCACTCAAAGCTTAGGCCGCTCTGTCGAGGAGAAGGTCAAAACAGAAGCCACCCCTCTGTACAGCCTTGAGTCAAGTGAGCACAGAGCAAGGGAGCAGAAGACTCCACCACTGGTGGGGAACAAAGCCAAGCTAGATAACACAGACAACAAAAAGTCATGGAAGCGTGTCACGCTGGTCAGAAATTTCAGTTTTGACATTATCTTGAGCTCCCACAGAGAGACTTAAACATGTGGGCAAGGCAAACAGAGCTCTCTGATTTTGGCTTCAGAAAGAGCAAAAGGATGATTTGCCATTCAGTTTGCTATGTACAACAATACTGCACTGTACACTTCACTAACAAGATGCTGTCTGCTACAGTCCAGCATTACTTAAATAAAATTCCTCTTGTCAAAGAGCAACGGATGAGTATCTCTGTAGGAAGGAGAGCTGAAACCCACTGCTGTACATGACCATACATGGTGCCAGTCCTTCCGGGATAAACATGAGCAGTCATTCCACAGTACCTAGTACCTCCTTAGCTTGCCTGAAGCAGAGAACTTCCCCTTTCTTCTTCCAATCTGTTTGATCCCAATCCTGTTGGGACTATTCTAGCACAAAGCCATGCCATGACTTCCCCCTGTTGCCAAAAGATTCCCATCCAAATTATGCAGTCTCTTTCAGTAGTCCCAGTTTCCGAAGTGCCTCTCTCCTAGCTTCTTCTGTTGAGCCACGGCCAGAAAACTTTACCGTTATCCCTTGGGATCGAAATCCTGAAGGTCTAGGCAGTGAACCCGATCTCCTCCTCATATCCGGGTTTAGACTAGGTTGTTTATAATCATTAACGCTTTTTGCTGCATTCTGCTGTGCGCTGCTGACCTTGTTAGCAGCAAGAGCTACCTCTGGCTTGATTGTTACAGTTTTGCCCATAGGAAGGAAAGGGCTGGGCTTGCTTTTTAAAATATCGTGGGTGTTTTGATATCCATTGGGAACAGTGTCTGCCTTTTTGGGCTGTGCATCAGGCTGCTGAGTACTGGAGGCATGGTCCACTTGGTCCTGAGCTGGCTTTCCCTTAACTAGGCCAAGTTTTGTCAGGGCCTCGTATCGTGTTTGCTCAGAGGAGAGATCCCTTAAGGAAGAACTTCTGTTACGTGACAAGAAATCGTTTTTCTGCAGCTTCTCCTCCAGTTCAGCTGCCAGAAAAGCTCCTCCATTTATGTTGGCCAGCACCTGAGCTCTCCGCTCCTGGACGTTAACTGCTGCTTTTGAAATAGTCTCATTGAATTCTTTGCCACTGACATTTGTTATGTTGATGTTGCTCGGGAACCGGTGCAGTTTGGGTGCAGGTGCAGGAGGGTGCTTCGGAGCTGCAAAATAATCACCGTTGGCTACTGGGGTTTTCTTCCTGTCTGAATTCCCTTCCTTGAGGGCAGTGGGGAAGCGCACCCTGCTCTCCATCTGCTGCTCAGACATCTTCTGGGCCATGATGAGCGGAGTGGGGACAGAGCGAAGCAATTTTGGATGCTGCACTGGAGGAGGGGGCGGAGGAGGAGGAGGAAGCGTCTCAGACATCGATGGTGGTGGTACAGGGGGATGTGGGGGAAGGTCAGCAGGTACAGCTGGCTTAGGGCTCTCAGTGGTAGCATCCAACACTTAAAAGAGAAAGCAGGAATAAAGTCATTAAGTCTTCACACAGAGCAGAATACAAGGCTTTCTTTCACCTAGGATTAGCAAGCATCAGTACTTGCCTTCCCCAAACTTTCTAACTCAAACTCAGCCCACATTGCCAAAAGAAACTGTAACTGAACTCCTAGCAATGGCATCTTGTAGGCGACACTATAGTTCAAATCACCATATTTACAATGCGTTCACTAGAAGCCCTCTTTCTGCCATCCATTCACAATCTGCATGTTAGCTTTACTGTGTTTCAATGGCTGCTTTTTCTATGAATTTTGCAATTCTTATTTATTATAACAGCCAGGAGAAAACACATTACATCCCACTGTATGTACTAGCTAATAAATCCATTCTCCAAAAGTGAAGAGAGCAAACTCTGCAAGGGTGAAGAAAACAACATGCCATACGCTATCTTGTCACAAACTTATTGATAGGATCATGTGCCTTTCAGTCCCACACAAAGTAACACTACAAACAATCTGCTATCTTAAAACTCTTGGAGAAAGTTTGAAGAGGTCTTAGAGAGAAACAGAGCGTGAACACATTGATGAGCACTAGTCTGCCTTGCTGCAATGACACTGCATAATACTCAGTTCTGTTACAGCTCAGTCACCGGGTAGGGAACTGAGATAGCAGTCCAACAGCTTAATCATATGCATGACTTTCATGAGAAAGGGGGGGAAAAAAGTTACAGTAGCAGCAAGAATTTCAGAAATCCCAAGTCAAATTAAAAAATCACGGTCCTTAGAGCTCCTGATGTGTAACAGATTCATCTTCATGTAGTAAGGAAGGTACAGAATTTCTTTAGCTGTTTTTATTGAGAACTGGAGTACGTCACAGGGCTAGGTCAAAGGGAAAACCCACACTTTCAAGAAATACTACCTGATTCTGCATCTCTGCTAGGAGGGCCTTCGTGGTCGCTACTCTCAGGTGTAGACTGTACGAAGTCAATGATATCTTCAGTCTCTGAATGACTGGACACATTTTCTTCCGTTGACCTTGGAGACTGACAGTGGATGCCACTGTCACGTAGGACCGGCTCCTCCAAGTCATCTTCTAAGGCATCTATGGTTTCCTCAAAGAACATGAGAACATCCTGCTCTTCGTGAGTTAAGTACTTCAGACTCTCATCATCCTATGGAGAAAAAAAGGAAAAAAGCCAGAAAGATTAACATCATATGGGTGAGTACAGGTAAGTACACTGATAGCAAACACAGCACTCCTTTTCAAAGCAGCAGTCACATCAGAAGCATCTCCTGCTTGCTGTTTCATCCCTTCCCAGAGGCCTTCAGCCACTACAAGACAAGAGGAAAAAAAGGAAACCAAACTAAAAACAAACCAAAAAAAGACCCAGGAGTTAACAGTGCATTAGTTTTGACTGAAGAACAGCAACTGGTATTTCATCCTTTAAAGTACCTAACTTCAGCTCAGCAGACAAGTGTCCATTTGAGTTGAACAGAACAAATTGCTAAAAGATCATAAGAGTAGACTGAAAAAAAAAAAACCCAACAGCCACCCCCCGACACACACCCCTGTGCCTTTACAAGGGTTAAGATAGCTTCTTCAGGCTCCAAACTGGAGTAAGCTGTTTCAGTTGCTGTGTCAGGATCAGGGAGAAGGCTTGGGAGCAGCATGGGAGGGAAAGGGTGCATTCAGGACGGTCCAACAAATGGGTTGATTCCCTTTTTGCTCTAGACCAAAGTGGGACTTGGCTTCTCAAGGCAGAGCTGGAGCTGAAATCTGGCTCTACCACTGCAATCTCCGAGTTATCCAGAGTTACGTGGTAGATTACAAAGAAGTGACAGTAAGGAGGGAGAGGGTTTCTGAAGATTTTACCTTTGAGTTACAGAAAGGAAAAATTTAGAATAAATATGAAGATGTGTTCCCTAGATGTAAAGTACCTTGGGCTATTTTCTCCAGCAGGAAACAATCCTGTAGACCACAGAAGTGACAAACAATCACTTGGATTATCCAGTCTTCATTTTCTATGAGTCACTGCTCTTGATTAACTTGATTAACACAATATCGCTATGAGAAGCTAAGCAGCAATGTGCAAACTCTTTTCCCTCCACCTACACCCTGGGAAACACTCACTTTTCCAGAAGCTTGGAGATGACGAAGAATGATTAAGGACACTACATTAAGACAATGGATACAGGAAAGGCATTTCCCAAGAGAGCTGTGTAAGTTCTGGAATGTAACTAAGTATTGTTGAAGAGTAAGTGAGGTTTTCCCTCTTCTGGATTGAATTTCTCTCCCACTAGGCATATACTGGAAACTTTGCCATCAGTAACTTAACAAGAAGGCACCAGCAAAGCAATACAAGACAGTCTCCTTTCTCATCTCTACTTTTCGCTTCTCAAAGGACACCTGGTTGTGCATGCACGTAACAAGGCTACTTCTCAATGGAGAATTGGGGGAATTCAGGCAAATACAAAAAGGTATACAGTGGAAATATCCAATAGGTAGACATGCTCTTGCTAGGGCAGCACAACTTGCTTCAAACTCACCGTGCCTGTTCAGATCATCTTACATTAAGTTAGAATAGAAAAAACTGCATGCAGCTCTACCTGTTAACTCAACTCCTTGCACAAACAAAGCTTTTATCCCCATCCGGGCATTAAAAATAAGAACAATGTACCTTTGCAGGAAAGTAATGCCTATAGATTAAGAACTGTGAAGTGCTGCATTGTACCAAGCAGCAGTTAGTCTCTAAGCAGTCAAACCACTACAAACGAAAAAACAAATGCTTTAGAGCTCTTGGTTGCCTTCTCCTGTGTGGCCAGCAGAACATTTTTTCCCTGTAAATAAATGAATGAAATACAGAAGACAGACACACATTCTTAGTTCAGACACTTTGGGATGGGTTTGCTTATCTGTGGCTGCAATCATGTGAACGCAGCAGTCTTCAGTCACAGATGGCACAGCTTTCTGTTAAAACAGAAGACTGAAGTCTTGCAGGGAAATACAAAGTTGGTTTCAACAAGAGGTTCATTCTACATCTACATTTCTAGATATTCAGATTTATTGTCATCAGGGTGAACATGATTTGATGGCTGCGAGACATGTGCAGAGGTGCGGGTACCTGTAACTTAGTCTTACCATCCACAGGGCACTGTCAGAATAAGTAACTTATTCCAGCTTGCAGCAAAACTGCTACAAAAGCTTAAATTTGGATGCCATTTGCAATTCCCTATTTAAAGCACCAACTTCAAAGGCTGACGTATTCCACAGCTCGCACCCAGCACATGGCAGAGCTCAGTTTTCAAAGGCCAAGGAAAGTTTTACAGCTGCACTTGAAAAGTGAGAGACAGACAAGCCTTCATTTTTTTTTTTTCTTAATGGATGTTGCAATCTCCTTCCTTCCCCACCCAAATACTCATAGGGCTGCTATGTCTAGTAGGCAAGAGAATAGCAGGAAAGGAGCCGTTGTTAGGTAGGTCCTAGCTGGAGCTGAGCAGGACTCCAAGAAGCTTTTGTTGTGGGTGAGCTCATTGCAAGAGCCAGACTTCCGCAGGCAAAGGAAAAAAAAAGGGGGGGGGGGGGGGGTTTAAGAAGTTCATGGTGGCAGCAGATCCAGAGTGCAGTACAGTACAGAAATTACTGCACCACACTTTGTTCATTTAAAAGAACAACTGCTCCCACATGAGCTTAACTCATTTGATCAAGAGCTGAGCAAAACAGCATGTGAACTGAAGCAAAAGACCTTCAGAAGCCCGCCCTTCCATCCGTTTGTGTGCTGCAAGACAGCTTCTCTGTGCCGGGTAAGATTTGCGGGAGGACTGGTCAGCAGAGCTCTGCCTGACATACCATCCCTTATGGATCTTGCCGAAATGAGCAGTTTCCCTTTAGGTGAAGGCTCTGAAATGACTAAGCATCTCTTTGCAAATACATGTGTGGTAAATGGCATACCTAGATTTGAAAGACCAACCTCATCTCAGTTAGCACTTTGATCTCTTTCCTCATGCAGTTTTCCTGAAGGAAACGACCAATGTCACATTTCCTGGGGCGGGGCGGGGGCAGGAAGAAAAAAAAAAGACAGCAGCTCTAGAGAATAGGCAGCATTATGGCAGGCCACCGTACTGAGATGCAAGGAATCCAGCCTGGCTAAAAACTCCCTCAGGCAAGGCATGCTTCAGTTTGAGAGACAAGGAAATAATCCCATTTTAGACACACAAGCACAGCGAAAATAAACCTACTCAAGTTGGTCAAACCAAAGGAGCTCAGAGATATAAAGCAAGCAGTGACTTTCTTCACCACTGGTCTGAGAACAGTGGTGTATTATAAAATGTCCACTTGTATTATAGGAAAGCTTTCAGAAAGATGGGAGGAATTTTGTTGTAGTCAGCTGGTGCCCGGTTTAACTAAGGTTACCAAGTCTATTTGTAATTAGTTCATTTTCCACCTATTCCAAGTGATGGAACAGCTCATACTCTTTCTGGGCTGGTTTTCCAGGCCTCCTTTTGCCTTGAAGAATCTGGGTTTTTAACAGTCAAAGCAGAGTCTTTTCAGCTACTCAAGTTATTCCCCTCATACTTTCCACCAACTCCCTACTCTTAATACACAAACACACCTCTCAAAACTAAGTCTCACATACACCTACCGCTACTGACTTTAAAGCTACTGTCAAAAGACAGCCTAAATTTGAAACTTAAAAATTGTGCCTTAGTTGAAGGTTAAAAAGACTGCTTGGACAGAAGAAATTTGGGATGCAAACAGCTGAAATAGCCGAGTATGCTCAGCTGGCATTAATATTTTAGATCCCTGCACAGCCAAACATTTCCTGGTTGCACCAAACAGGAAAGAGTCTGTTATGACGGTCTTTGGTGTAAAAGAGGAAAAGAGAAACAAGGGAAAAAAAAAAGAAAATAAAAGAATCTGTTTCATAGAAAAGATCGCCTTGCTACCTGTTCAAAACAGTGACTTAGTATCAGAAGCCAACAATTTTTCACATTCATCTGAAGAAATTCTTAACATCACATCCAGACCTAGAATCCTAAGACCAGCACAGTTTTGACAGAAACAGAACAGCAGGGGAAATCCTAAGACATCTGCAGTGGTTAAAAAAAAAAAAAAAAAAAAAAATTTCTTCTGAAAACTGCTAGAAAACCAAATAGTACTACCCATGTCAAACAGTTACACTTCAATTAGCAAAATACCAGGAGAACAGTGGATTCAACTGATTCATCATCAATCACTTGACAGTGCCCAAGAATTAATAGCCACAGTTCCATGGGAGAGAAGTGACAGGATGCTTCTCAGAAAAACCACGAAGGGAGCAAACTATTCTAATACGTACAGGGAAGAGACCAATGTAGCACCACTTAGGCCTCAGCCTGTTAATAACAAGGCAGGCACCTCTACTTGTAGGGAGAAAGGAGGGGAAAAAGAAAGCCCTGCATGCAGGAACACTATCACAACAGGTACAAAAGCTTCAGCGCAGAAGAAAAAGGCAAGTATCTCTGATTATATTTATAGAAAAGGGAAACAGAATGGATCGTACGGCTGCATTGCTTAAGTTGGAAGCAAGTGAATTGCAGATAAGAACAAGAACTGCCATACAGGATCAGACCGAACAGTCCATGCAGCTCAGTAGCCTGCCTTCAGCCACCAGTAATGCACAGGAACGGGGCTGGGGGGAAGAGTTTTGCTGTAAATTGCATGGGTTTATATTTTTCTTCCCTACATCCTTCCAGTTTCCAGCAATACATGGCTTAAGGACTTCCCAGTTGCATCCACATCTGTGTACTTAATAGCCCTTAATGAGCTTTTCTAGCAAGAATTCATCTTATTGTTTAAGCCCATTTAAATGGCTGGCATTCACAGCATTCTGTGGCAATGAGTTCCATAGTTTAATTGTGTGCTGTGTCAAAAAGTACTTCCTTTACAACCCACTATCTGATGATTTTGATAATACCATTTCATTTGGTGAAGACGACTATAATATTGAATGTTGTTTTCTTCAGTTTATTAACATAATTGTACCTGTGTGCTTCATAATAGCTAGCACAGCATATAATCAATATGTCATAAGCGAGGAAACAAATGATCTAGAAGTATTTAAAAAATAAACTAGATTAACTGAAGTCATAAACTGACTAAATTACTTCTAACCTACTTTTAAAAAAAAGCAAG